ACTCAAATGAAGGTGTAGAACCATCTCAGGGATGATCAGCAGAAATGGACAGCACCTAAGTTAAATATGAGTGTCACAGAGCAAAGGGTCTGAATACTTATGACCATGTGATATTTCAGTTTTTCTTTTTTAATAAATCTGCAAAAATGTCAAATTCTGTGTTTTTCTGTCAATATGGGGTGCTGTGTGTACATTAATGAGGAAAAAAATGAACTTAAATGATTTTAGCATATGGCTGCAATATAACAAAGAGTGAAACATTTAAGGGGGTCTGAATACTTTCTGTATGTTTGCTATGTTGTGCTGCAGGAGGCAGTTCAGTCCTTGTCTGTGGAGTTTCTGTCAGTGCTATCAGACTTGCAGCAAACAGCTAAATTACCCTGTTTTTAATAGATGACATAAAAATATAAAACTTGGTGACTCTGCAGAGACCATGTTTTTGTCATTTGGGTGAACCGACCCTTCAGAAGGTTTTTTTTTTTTTCTTTCCTTCCAGCTGCTCTAAAAGCACATGGAGGATAATCGATCAGTGTTATTCAGTCAGCTCGGGGGTATCATGACAGAATGCACAGTGACGTCATGGTTTGGGTTTTATGTTCCAGAAATGTGGTTCAACAAACTCTGAACTTAACCCTGAGGTGGGAAATGTTGATTTTGCAGTTCCAGAACACCTGATCAGTATTGCTGGAGGGAGGAGACACAGAGAAAGTCTGGGTTTGCTGAAGCAAACCTGCCAGCGACCAGGAAAGGCTCACGGAGTTACCATGGTAACTGACTCCGATTTAAAGTGATCTCCATTTCTGAAAAGCCAGTTTCTCATTTCATCTTGAACAAACTCCATGTTTTCACCTAACCTACTTTATGACATACAAAATCTGTCACTTAAATTTTACTTATAAAAGTAAATCAATTAACTAAAGTAACTTTTAAAAATGACTGAAATAGAAAATTCTTAAAGCTTTAAAAAACAAAAACTATACAAAATTGCAAGTTCCACATTTATGGTTTTGTCCAGCTACATGCTGTTTGTAAGGATCCCTTCCCTCTTCAATTCAAATTAAGTAAAATTAAGATTTTAATACAACTTAAACAAAAATTGTATTACACTATGTAACTAAATGTGCGTCATGTCTGCACCAAACTGAAGATCTCGTTAGATTTTTAGTTCTTAACATATATTTGCTGTCTTTTGCAACTGATGGATCTTGATTGGAATTTAAAAGGTAACGTAAAATCAGAAAATTACACTTAGTTCCCTTCATTTGAAGAGAGATAAACTGTAATTTTGCCAGAAACAATGTTCTGAAAAGCAAACACAGCCATTTTCCCCAATTTTATGCTGTTTTATCCAGGAAAAGTTCAGTGTATATTTGACTTTAATTATTAAATAAAAAACTGATTTGCAGAAAAATAATAAGATGCAGCTAACAGTTCAATTAATTAGGTTATTTAGTCCATTGACATCTTCAAATCATAGTCATTCCAGCTCATTTGGTATTTGGACCAAGACGTTAGACTCACATTTGCCAGTTTGATTGTTAATTATTGCAAAGGCAGAGACTTAAATTCTGCAGTTTTTTATTCTTTAAGACAAAACAATAATCATTTTGCATAACAGCAGTACAGCAGTGGCCAAGGGTACAAAAATGCTTTGTCATTTTTCAGTGTAAAAATAAATCTACTCATACCTCCCACCTGTGCCATCATCTCGTAGTGCAAACGCTTCAAATAAAAGTTAGGCACGTGATGGATACGATCGCAGCTCAGTTACACTTGAATGCTTTTATTTTATCTGTGGATTTTCAGTTCATAACATGGAACAATCACAGCGTGAAAAGCTTTAGATAATGGATGAACAGAGAGAAAAGGGTGGTTTGACTCTGAGCATGATCTGTTCCAGCTTTTTTTCCGGCGCCATAGTTTAATACTACGTCAGAAAGAAATTACGTTGCAGGCTTATGGTCCCAAGCAACAATCACGACGTCTCCATGGTTGATGCTTTTGCTTGTAAATATCTGAGCGAGCTTCTTAGTGGCAACTTGACATCTTTCTACTTTTAAGAAAAAATAAAAACTAGCTCAAAATAAAGCAAAATATTTCCCACTTTTACACATTACAAACAAAAAATAAATATCAGCTTTGTTTTTAATCTAGGCATTTTATGATTTCTTCAGAAAAATAAAAAGGTACAAAGAGTGACAGTCATTCTTTTCCAACTAACAGTGCAGCTTATTTTCAAAGGCTTGCTCTGCCATCAGGAAGCCAGCACGCCTCGGCGGATGATGTCTGACCCGTAGCGACGGCCGAGGGACGAGTCGCCCCTCAGCTGGTGGGAGTGGCATCGTTTCAAGCAGCGCTCCATCTCGCCGTCGCCTGGTTTTGAGTCTGAAGTGTAGCTGTCGTTTTCTGTCCCTGTGCGGAGTCGTGTTCTGGGGTATGATGGCTCCGGTGTGTTGGTCAGCGGTCTGAGCAGAGGCTTGCGCTGCTCCACCACCACCTCCTCCTTTGACCCCGGAAGCTTCTCGTTCCTCTTCGGAATCCTGAACTTCCCCCAGCCTTTAAGATGCCTGCTCACAGGTCCGTTGGGTGTGTGGGAGCCGTTTGCCTGGGTTTTTCTCAGCCAGCTGTTGGCTTTGGAAGCAGTGGCGGTGGTGGAGGCGTCTAATACCACGCTGGCTTTGTTAAATTTAGTGTTGGTCACATCCAGAGAGACAGAGCTTCTCTTGGTCAGTCGTTCATCTAAGAAGTATTCGTCAGTGTCAGAGTTCCTGATGTCCACCAGCCTGATGGAAACTGTTTTCTCCAGGTGTTTCGAGCCGAACTGGTTCTTCAACTGGTTGGACAAGCTCTCTGTCACCTCGCTCCTCCTCTTCTTCCGCCTCTCCTCCTGTTCATTCTCTCGTTTCTGTCTGGTCAGCGCCTCGTGTTTGGGCCCCGGAGCCTCCCTCCTAGGGCCTTTCCTGCTCTCAGGCTTGTGCAGCTTGGTGTTGACGGCTTCCTGGACAGCCCCTGGCTTCTGAAGCTTTGGGGACTGAATCTCCTGACTGGTCTCAGAGTTCTCTGTTTTGGCGTCACTTGCAGCCTCAGTGAGCGCAGCCTCTCTGATTTGACAGCTTCTACTGTCTTTCTCCAGTGGTTTGCTCAGACTGTCCTTCTTGTGCGGCGAGTCGGAGAGGCTTCTTCTGTCGCCGCTTTTCCTCTTCTCCTGCTTTAAAGGCCCTCGTTTGGGTTTCAGTGGGGACGGACTGTAGGGGGAGCAAGACTGGGAGCCCTGAGACGATAACCGGTCCAGAGAGCAGAGCTTCTCCAGGTCCTTGTTTGAGGGGTCACCTGCAAAAAACACAAACCGTGTACAAATTCAGTCCAAGTTTGAACAAAATTAGGGGCTAAGTGTTTATTTTCCTACACTGCGATGATTCCTTTGTCAGATTAGTTTTGAGCTGGAATTAAAACGTATCCAAATTAGTTTTTAAAATACTTTTTTTCCTTTTACGCCCATCAAGATTCAGGTTTGAGTTATAGCCTGTAGGACATGATTCTTTAATTTTTCTAATTCTAAAAAGAAACTTTAAACTCAAGTTATCAAAAAACCCTTGTGGAGTTAAAAAGGTATGGTAAGATGTGAAGAAGCAGACACTAAAAATAAGTACAAATGCTTTTTCCAACAGTTTGATGCTGATACTACATTAATGTGACCAGTAAACATAGGCTAGGAAAATTAAGGAAAGATCAGGTGAGTGGGGGGGGAGGCTCAAATGTGCAAGAAATATGAATTAGAGATTAGAGAAAACAGTTGTCATTAAAACTCCCGTTTAGCCTCAAAGTGCATCATGTACTGAGAAACCTGAATAATGCAGTAGCCCTTTAATGAGTCTTATGTTCATTTAGAGCTGTTGACTTTTCCTGCATGTTTGATTTTTATGAAACGTGTGTTTGTACAGGATTCTGTCTGTGATCAGAGTAAGTGACAGACATAGGACTAACTCCTTCTCCCTGTATCTTTCAATAGGACACAGAACACATGCACAAGAATATGGGACTTGCACAGTGTAAACAGTCTTGGGCGTGTTGCATAGAGGGCCGACAGCGTTCTGGGCCCCTGTCGCTCCTACATATGGACGTCAACTGCAAGTTGATGAGGTGAGAGACATCCTAAAGTTGTTGGGGTTCAAGTGACAGAGAGAGAGAATGATAGTAGCACTGACAGCTTCAGGTCAGACTAATTTCAAAAGGGTTTGAGCAACTTTGATTTAAATTGTAATGAAAATTATCATAACTAACATGGAACACAATGTAATTGCATACAACATTTCATTCTTTGTTCCAATCTGACCCATTCTTTTCCACTGACCAACTTCCTAGTTTGATATATGGTGTTTTAAGACAGCAGCTGTGAGGTGCATATTAGTGTCTTTATAAGTGCTTTCACTCTGCATTTGTATCCAACACGTTTGTACAGAGTCAGAATGAACGGTAGGATAATGAAGCTTTAGTAAACTTCATGTTCTATCTGTAATGTTTATGACAAACATCGTTATAGACCTTCATTAAAACACAGCAAGTTGACAGTACAGCTGGCAAATAGAATTATCTTTTAATTCACTGTGGATAAACTTGTAAACAACTTTGAGTAGCCGACCGAGTTAACTCTAAATGTATTGTCACAGATCCTGATCCTCCAAATGGCCAAAAATACCCGACTTTTCATCCAGGTACTGGAAGCTGCAAAGACACCCGACTTTCCATCCAGGTACTCTACAGTCAACATTTATATTAATATGTGAAAAAGTGTTTAACTTCTGTGCACTTAAAACTACATCAGTATTCAAGTGTATAGTAGTAAAACAATTCTGTAAAATATCAAATTAGGCTTCATAGCCATAGTTAGTCCTGCTTTTCAGACTGCATGGGGGGTTTTCAGTCATTTTAAGAGCATAATGATGTGACGTAATGTTTACCGTGGTGCTTTGTGGGTGAATGGTGGGACGACATAACACGCCATTGCTACAAACAGTGGCAAGTTCATTCGCACACCAAAAAGATCTTTAAAATGGTTTGTGTTAATTGTTGCCTGTATCAAGCGCACAATGAACGCCAGAGCTGCATTTTTTTTTTCCGGCAGGCGGCGGAAATGGACAGGTTCAATCAGAAATAAGGCCATCAAACCATTTTTAAGATCTTTGACAATTTTTCCATGCGAATGAATTTTAGTGTTACTTGTCACTGCTTGTCAGTGTCTTGCCCAAGTCGACATGTGGATTTGAACCTTCAACCTTCTGGTTGGGAGACGACTGCTCTACCCACTGCACCACTGTCTCCCCTAGACTAGTATATGACACTAGTCCTACACACTGATGTTTCATTAGGAAACAAGATCTGTTTGTTTAATATCATGGCCTCCAAATGATTCCTACAGCATCTGTTTTAGCACAAATGAATAAGCCAATTAATTTCTCATCCTCTCTGTATTTAAGCTGATTTGGTCCCTGAATGACAAGATCACGTTCAGACTTCAGCCGACTCACCTGTGAGCAGCTGGTGGTTGAGCAGTCGGACCTGGTGCTGGAAGATCTGCTCCTGGACTTTCCACAGCGAGCGCTTCATCTTCTCCCTCCGAGTCACCATGTAGGTCAGGTTACGAACCTGAGGAGCAGCAGCAGGTCAGGACATGCAACTATTGCCCAAATGTATTCATTACTAATAACAATAATAGTAGCTAGTTTTAGTCCTAATAAATATTATTCTAATTTCCCTTTCTTTAATAATACTTGCAGAGTTGTTCTGGTTAGATTTTGGGCAACTAATTCTTTCATTTGCACAGTAACTGTCTCCTACATCTTTAGTCTGGTCAGGATGTGAATTACTGCCTTGTGGAGCAACAAAAACACACTGCACTCAGGCTGAATTTGCATTATTTTAAGCTATTCCTTTCCTCTCTCTGCTGCTCCTGTGAGCTGTGCGGTGGGAACCTACCCGCTCCAGGTCCTGGCGCAGGTGTGTGAAGAGCTGCAAGCGTCGCAGCAGCACCTCCTGCTCACGGCGTGCCAGGCTCTCCTCCTCGTCCTTCTTGGGTGTGAGGAGGGGCTGGTTGAAGTTGGCTTTGCGTTTCAGTTTCCAGTACTGGTAGATGAAGTCCACCACCTCCGGCAGCAGCTTCAGGTGACGGGCCACCTCTTCTACCTCCACAAACTGGTAGAACTCCTCCTCCATCTCCTGCAACTTCAGCTTGCGGAAACTGACTCTCTTCTCCTGCTGGTGGCTGAGGCCCTCCAGATCACTGCACGGTGCACATGGAGATGAAGAGGAGGCAGCGCCTTCCTCCTCTCTCGCCCTGCCTCTCCTCCTGCCCTTGATGTCTGTAGCGCCTTCCTTCTCCTCCTCGCCTCCCAAGTCTCGGTTCCTGGAATTGGTGCCCTCGAGCCCGGAGTGTTTTGGGCAGTAGGACTTGAACTTGACCTCATCATCCTCAGCGAGGATGGTGTTCATATCAAGGCTGGCGGTGAGGCCGCACGTCACATGGAAGGCAGTCCGGCAGTTTTTCGCTGAGCACTGCAGCAGTAAACACAAGTCAGACTTTGACCCACTAAATCCCTGTCCACTGTCACAAGTCTATTCAAGACAGTAAGTCACAATGAAAATCTGGCAACGGTGTCAAAAGCCTCCAACTAGGAATCAGAATCTATATTATATTAGTTTATTAGGTACACCTCGCTAAAACTAATGCTGTGCTGCAATAAATCCTCCCTTCATCAGTTTGTTAATGCTAGCTTACTACTGAACAGTTACTTAGCCTAGCCTTGATGATATAACCAAAATAAAACCACCACCAGGAGGATTTATTGCTGGCTCAGACTGCATTCCCTTTAGCTAGGTGTACCTAATAAATTGGCAGCTATGTGTAGGTGAATCGGTTGAACAGTTCTAAAGTCACTCTAATTTCCAGTGATTAACAAAAAATACTTGTTACAACCCACCTAGCGTGAACGCTCTCTGCCACAGACTCGTACTAGCAGGTGGGGCTGTGCTTGGCTTTTCACGTCTCATTACATGTTGGTGGTGGTGAAATGTGAGTGGTGGCTCTACCTGTATACACGCTCCGGTCTTCTCTTTGCACAGGCAGCAGATCAGGGCCCATCTGTTGCTGGGGATGTGGGACACATTGGTGATGGGCTCCATCTTCTCCGGGTTCCCGATGCTCACCTGCACATTTCACATATGACGGGACGTGTTGTTCACGTGGCAGCACAGACACACACATACATTAACACATGCAGATGATTGTACACTCGTGTTTGGATCGGGTTGTTTTTGCTATATTCACACCGCTGTGTTTAAACATGTCCGCACCAATAAACTGCTAAAACAATGCTAACGTTTTCAGTTTGGTTCATTCATCATGTGCAAGTTTTGACAAGTAAATATTCTGAAACACTGACTGTGACAAAAGTCTTGGTTTACAAACTCTGTCGGCAGTGATTATAAAACCACGGTGGTATATGCACCAGTTTGTAACGTGTGACTGGGGGCTTTTTTCCTGGATGGATCATCTTTTCTAACCACAGTGCACGTTGTTCTCGAGATTGAAAATAATCTCAATCAAATGCAGGGACAGTAATTACATTACAGATTAAAAAGTTTGGCATTGTTCTTTACCATTATTTCTAAGATGTTACATTGCTGGTGACAAAGTTTACTGGAAAGAGCTGACAGTCATTAAATGAGCATGTTTTGGTACAATTTGTGTATTAATAAATCATGAGCATTGTATCTCTGACATGTTGGATTGTATTCTTTTCTAAAAAGCTTCGCCTCAATCGGTTTACAGTACTTTTAGAGCTTCTTAGAAGCAGCATAAATGTAATTGTTCTCACAGAAAAGTCAATTCTGAAAAGCCTGTTTGTCCAATCAGTCATCTCCTTAAACAATCCTGTTAAAGATCCTTTAACATTACTTTCATGTGAGGAGTTGCTGCCTGTGACACACTAAGGTAAATTTGCTCTTTAAATCATATTAAATATTTGGTCTAAAAACACACCCACAGTATTAAAGACAATGCACAGGTACAGTCGATTCTCACCTCTGGAATCCACAAGGCACAGCTGACGTGGACCCACTTGGTTCCACTTCGGGTCGGCTTCATGGCGCCGCCCTTCTTGGGACACAACTGGCACTTTGGCAGGATGCCAAGTGCACAGATCCGGCACAGCCAGCTGCCCTGTGGGACTTTCTGGATGCCGTAACATGCCTGGAGGGAAACGCAAACAGAAAGACAGAGTGAACCTGCATGTGTCAGAGGAAACCACAGAAGCAGCTGATCTGAGATCTGTCAAAAGTCATTTTCTGAATAAAGCTTTGCCTCAGGCTATATTTAAATGACTGTTTACTAAAGGTAGAAAAAGCACAGTTTTGTTTAAAAGCAGTTTTGTTTTTTCCGCAGTAGGAAACAAAAATTAACAGGACTCCAACATTTCAGTTTAGAATCATAAAGTCCTTAAAATGAGAAACTAATTGCTTAAACTCATGCAGCAGCAACTAGTGTTGCATGATATACCAGTACTAGTATGGTACTGAGGCATTTAAAATGGTACTATACTGCATTTGGATGGGACCGGTACTTGCCGCGCCGCCCGCAACAGAGGAAAACAGAGCAGGAAACAGCTTCCTCGTGGACTGGAGCAACAAACGAAGCAGGAGGAAAGCTTGGAGAGAGCAGAGACGTTGGAGAGGGAGGGAGCGAGAGGAGCATGGCTGCTGTAACAGTCACCACCCCGCAACTTGTGGACAAACGAGGGGCGCGAAGTGCTATATGGCAGTACTTCGGCATAAAAAATGAGCAAGGAGAGGCAGTTAACGTTGATGCGCCATTGTGTAAACGAGGTTTTAAAACATGCATGGCTAAGGGCGGAAACACCTCCAACTTAGCCAAACAACTACAGGACAAGCACCCAGACCTGCACACTGAGTTCAGGGAACGACAGGTAATTTACTCATGATATGTCCTTTTCAAATGCAATAGTTCAATAGTTTTAAGTGTGCAACACATGATAAAGAGTTCTTATCAAACATTTAATTTTTTTTCTAAATTTTAATAAAAAAATTTAAAAATGTGTTTTTTCAAAACGTTAAATGTGGTTACAGCACAGTCCTTCAGTGTTTTACATACATATTTAGCCATTTAATATATTATAAAGTCTGGTAACATACCATTTAAAGTCTGATCTTCCCATCCTGGCTCAGTTTGCACGACAATATATGTGCATTTCAGCATCAAGCTGTGCATCAGAACGTGTCTTCAGCACATCTGGAAATATCTGTAGTCCAAGGCGTTCTAGATTGAGTGAGGAACACCTAGACATTTTGGTTTTCTTGGCCAAGAATCTCAACAAGACAAAAAGCCTGAGTCAGACTCAGTAGATAGTCTACTCCAAAAGAATCAGCCACCCAATAGTAGGCAAGAGAGGGAGTAGGGAGAAGGGACATAATGTTGATAGGAAAATAAGAGATTTTGCTGCTACAGTTGCTAGCTTATTTTAATTTCAAATAATTTTATTTGTTCTAATTGTTCTAAGTTAGAACTTCTAACTTCATACTTTTTATTTACTCACACTGACTGTTCTAAAAAAATTTTTTTTGAGTGCAATAAAAAAAGCATAGTATTTTGAATTTTATTTTGATGTTATTCTAAGATTTTCTATTAAAATAAAGTCAGTAATGACATTGTTTGCATTCTCTTTTTATCTGAAAAACTACCCAAAAGTATCGAAAGTATCGAAATACATTTTGGTACCGATACCGGTACCAAAATATTGGTATCGTGACAACACTAATGTTGAGTTTGATATTATTATCTCTAGCTTGTTGCTAAGTGAAGACAGCTAATATGTCACTGTTCTGAATAGAGTATAGGCCGATTACAGCTGTGTTTTCTCTGACAGATTGACATCGGGCTGATGGTTGCAAACAGTCAGGTGATTTTTGAGAAGGCAGAGAATTCTTCCCTCACACTAGTTGGTATGTTCCTTCTTTCTCCCTACAGGTGGCTGATATTTCCCAACTGATCTCAGGATCTAGATTTGAAGCACTAAATGACAAACGTCCTAAAAAAAATGTTTTACTTGCAGATTTGCTTTTATACTCTATCCTCATGTATCCACTAGATTTAAGACATTTCTGAGATTTGTTAGTTAAGGGGTTGTCTCCTGTATTTATAAGGTAAGGCAAAGGCCCGACAGACAATCATCAACCCAGACTGGAACTTTGAGAAGATTGGGATTGGAGGTTTGGACAAGGAGTTCTGTGCCATATTCCGCAGAGCATTCGCATCCCGAGTCTTTCCTCCAGACATTGTGGAACCAATGGGTGAGATTTAAAATTTTAATGGCAAATATTCAGTGTAGGTACTTTTCATGTTAAATGTTCAAGCTTGTATTTTATCAGTTAAACATTGTTTAGATTACTTGACCTTGCAAGTAATTTTGTGTACTGTGTATTCAAGGTGGTAGCAAAATGTAATGGGGGGGAAACAGGGTTGGTCACACTAACTACCTCATACGCACAGATAAACAAAAATGTTTCAGTGATTTTATCATTTATTTTATTAAACTGGTTTCTCTTCCCTCAGGCTCTGAGCATATAAAGCTGTTTTCTAATTCTTCTTGCACTCTTCATTTTCTATATTATTTTTCCTCTTCCATTTATTCCTTCCTCCTGTCTATCTGCTTTCCCTGCTGCCAGGGTGTAAGCATGTGAAGGGCATCTTGCTGTTTGGACCTCCAGGTTGTGGTAAAACACTGATGGCCAGGCAGATTGGCAAAATGCTCAACGCCCGCGAGCCAAAGGTTGTCAACGGCCCCGAGATCCTCAACAAATACAGGGGAGAATCTGAGGCCAACATCCGCAAACTGTTCGCCGACGCAGAGGAGGAGCAGAAGAGGGTGAGAAAAGCTGATTGGAGTTTTCTTTGTGCTCAGTTTGAAAAACCAAACAGAATTTATAAACATAAAACTTGACCTGTCTAAAGCTGGGAGCCAACAGCGGCCTCCACATTATCATCTTTGATGAGCTGGACGCCATCTGCAAGCAGAGAGGCACGGCTACCAGCAGCACAGGAGTGCACGACACCATGGTGAACCAGCTTCTGTCAAAGATTGACAGGATAAGCACCCAGACCTGCACACTGAGTTCAGGGAGCGACAGGTAATTTACTCATGACATGTACCCTTTTCAAATTCAATAGTTCAGTAGTTTTAAGTGTGCAACACATGATAAAGATTTCTTATCAAACATAGAATTTTTTTTTTTAAATTTTAATAAAAAAATGTGTTTTTTCAAAATGTTAAATGTGGTTACAGCACAGTCCTTCAGTGTTTTACATACATATTTAGCCACCAACCAGAAGGTGCTGTAGCAAAAAAAAAAAAAAAAGAAGTGATCTAAGCCTGCTCTGCACCATCACCCAGGAAAAGAGGGGAGCAGACAGTTCAACAGGACACGATTCATCCACATTGACAACACCTAAAGACAAACTAAACCGTGTGATGACTATGAACAGTTAAGAGATATAAGTGCTGCACAGGACCCCCTAGCCTGGTGGGGTCATCATGAGTCTGATCTTCCCATCCTGGCTCAGTTTGCACGACAATATATGTGCATTTCAGCATCAAGCTGTGCATCAGAACGTGTCTTCAGCACATCTGGAAATATCTGTAGTCCAAGGCGTTCTAGATTGAGTGAGGAACACCTAGACATTTTGGTTTTCTTGGCCAAGAATCTCAACAAGACAAAAAGCCTGAGTCAGACTCAGTAGATAGTCTACTCCAAAAGAATCAGCCACCCAATATGTTGATAGGAAAATAATAGATTTTGCTGCTACAGTTGCTATCTTATTTTAATTTCAAATAATTTTATTTGTTCTAATTGTTCTAACTTCATACTTTTTATTTACTCACACTGACTGTTCTAAAAAATTTTTTTTGAGTGCAATAAGAAAAGCCTTGTATTTTGAATTTTATTTTGATGTTATTCTAAGATTTTCTATTAAAATAAAGTCAGTAATGACATTTTTTGCGTTCTCTTTTTATCTGAAAAACTAGCCAAAAGTATCGAAATACATTTTGGTACCGGTACCAAAATGTTGGTATCGTGACAACACTAGCAGCAACAAAAAATACATGTTGCTCAGACCAAAACAAACAGTACAGCAGGAGATGTGGGGCTCTGGTCTCTGTATTCAGACATTTAATGTATGTTGCACAGAGATAAATTTGCTTTTCTTTGAGTTAAGGTGAGCCAGTGTTTTGATCTCTCACCTGGTGAACGCAGATGTTGCACTTGTCACAGAACACCATTTCATTGTTGTCTTCCCCGTCGGGCGACTGGCACACATCACACACCACGTCCTCGTCGTACTCGATGCCCAAACCCTCCTCCGTCTCCATGGCGTGCGTCATGTTGTCGTGGCAGTGGCGCTCAAACTCCTCCATCACCCGCTCCATGGTGATCTCATCCAGCGGCGACATGGCTGCAAAAGTCAAGGTTTGGTTTAATTCTTCTGTTGGCAGTACAGCTGTCATTACATGACCAGACCAGAGATACTATGAGATGCAAAAACTTGCTATCATGAAAAGTGCATTTAGTAAAAACCTTTTATTCTTCTAAGCATCAAGCGCTTCTCTGTGAGCGTAGATAATTACTTTTATATATGACATTTAAACCTTGTTGAATTGACTTAAATCACAGTGGACCAGCTCAAAACACTCATTTCTAATGACTTTACCTGTTGACACTTAGGAGCAAACCTCTTTCACCCAACAGCCACAAAATGCTTCATTATCAACTATGAAGTTTACTCTGAGTTATCTGACCAGAATGACACCAGCTAAACAAAGCTGTGGTCACCACAACACAACCAGCCTGAACTAAATCAGAAGCATAACAGTGGGAGTGTCTACTAGAAACTCAGTGAACCCAAAACCACAGACACCCTGACACCAACAGACTCCGGCGTGGGGACAAAACGGACTGAAGCCTCTATTCCAGCACACTTTAAGAAGTACAAGAGGAGTGTGTGATGTGGCCTCGTGGCTTTGCACTTAATTTAGCATCTTACTCAAAGAAACCCAAAGCGACAATTAGATCACTGCTGTGGTATTCGGACAAGCTGGCCTCCATAAATGATGCTGCTCAAGTTTCCCATCGATATTTTAAACCCTTAACAATTCTCAAACCGACCTCTGACCTCCCAAACACGGATAAATTTAAATAAATTAATACAGATTACAGAAGGAAATGTTTACTCACAGGGTTGAAAACTGTTTTGATCACTCTTTAATCAACAACAGTATTATTTTTGTTGTTGTTCAACACTTTTAGGGTTTAAAAACAATTCAACCAGAATGTTACCTACAAAATGACAACCAGCTTTCACCAAATCGTCAGCCTCAGCCTGTGCCCTGTGACTCACCCATCTCAGCAAACTCCTCGTTGATGATCTGCAGCCAGGCCACATCCTCCTCGTTCAGGTCGTAGCGGCACATCCCCTCTGCCAGCGTCCGGATGTCCATGTAGCCTAGTGCCTCTGTGCCTGACGTCCGGATCAGCTTTTTTGGCCTGACAAACATGATGGCCTTCCCTTTCTCTGCCAACACCCTGCACCACACAGCCGTGAGACAGAGGTGAATTTAATGTCATACATATACAACATGGTACTACGGATCAGCCATCAATAAACAATTTTAAACTAGTATAGAAGACTTCAGCCTGTTTAACACGTTCTTCTTTTCTCACAAATGGAACAATGTTTATTAACCTGTCTCACAGCAGTATTACACAAGTCACGGTCTCCTTTGGCCAGTTTACAGTAAAGACTTTTGTCATTTGAAATGACAAAAGGAGGCTGACACTTGGATACTGACGGCAAACAAGCTCGTTAGCAACACTTGTACACAACTTCCTCAAACTAGTTGGCATACACATACATTTCTCTTTGTCCTTGCTACCGTATCATCTGACTGGAAGCATGTCAAATCAGAAGTAAAGGAATGGCCCTAATGAAATGCGGCCTGTCATGCTGCTCCACACAGAGTTGTTACATCTTCACTTTGTGAGCCTCCCCTGCACTGGTGGAAACCTTTGGGGGAATCACACCTGTGACTTCCAGGTCTTAAATTATTCTCCATGCTGTCCTACCTGGCGACAGGCTGTGGGATGGACTGGGGGCTGACAGGGACCTGGACACCCTTCTCCCACTCCTGCCGCCACGGGTCAGCGAGGACGTAGTAGTCCTCAGGGTTTAGCTGGTACGAGTCGTGCACCTTCATGGCGGTGATCAGGTCCGTCCTGAAAACCTGCAGCACAGGAGTTAAAACTGGTTGCTGTTTACCATGGGAATCAAAAAACTGTAACCTTCATTTTTCAGTCTATTGATGCTTCACAGACAGAATGACTATTCCATTAATAACAAAGAAAAATAAATCATTTTAGTTACAGTCCTAAATTATTTATATAATCTTTAAGGCCTTTATCTCCACACTGTGCATCTCAGTGTGTACACCAGTTGTGTCCAGTCGCTTAAACAGGGACTAGCCAATCAGGATCCTGCTTAAGCCAGCGTCACTGTTTTTCTTTAATTTGATTGGCTCTTGGGCAAAGGGCATGTACAGTGGCCTGTAAGGACCAAGTCCCCACACTGTAAACAGCAGATAACAGCAGCAATGTTTACATGACACATAAATGCATCAAATGACTCATTTTACAGATAGTTTTATCAAGTGGTAACGTCAGACCTCAAACTCCCCATGAAATATAAAACAATAAACGATGACACAAGAGCACATGGAGGAGAACAGGGGGGCACTGCACAAAAGTAGAATTAATCAACTAAAATGGAAACATGGCCGCTGTAATAAAACAGTGAGAACAAGCGCGGCAGGCGGTAGCGGACCGACTGAATGCATTAGGTTCTTAACTGAAACCATATGTTACTCAGGAAATAAACCATGAAGATTAATTACAACCACTAATCCACAACCTGAATGTGTAAATACAGTTCATTCTACAAACGGTGGAATCTGAGTGATATGTAGCATACTCCTCGTTACACACCTAAAACTTCTAAACGTAGTCCAGAAGAAGTAGAAGTTAATGCATAGGCCTATTTTGGGTGACTGAATTAATTTAAAAAAGAAAATATTAAATGAAAAGTGGCCTATATGGCTCCAGGTCCATGAAGGCTGATGACTGAAGTGACAATTCCTTGAACTTGGCATTTTAAATTGCTAAAAATAAAATTGAACATTAGATGATTAAACTTTGTTCTATCATTGCAAAAAAACAGTCAACAAAGCCAGTGTAAGCAATGTGATTATCACGTCAACTTTAAGGATTTTGGTGCCTGCAAAAAGAAGCTAAGTGAAAGCACTACCACCGTTTTTGTGGAATGACCCATATGGGCTATACAAAAGTGTGTGTGTGTGTGTGTGTGTGTGTGTCCTATCACAACATCTAAAAAAAGCACAGGCCATTGTAAAGACAAATACATACACAAGTCTATACTGACTTCACTGAAGACACCTTTGCAGCTTTATCCTGACTAATCACCTCAACAGATGCAATAAAATTAATCAAACCTCTAACAACAATATGAACAGCAGTCTCCATAAACACAGTCTGTATCAATGACCATCATATTTTACAGGTTAACTGTAAAAGAATTCATTGGTTTCCGATCACAGTGACTGCTGACAGAACAGATAAGGCACCAGGATTAATCAGGCATGGCTGTTAGCCTGGTCCGGACCGGGCTAGCTGCAAAAAATAAATCTCCATAGTAACTTGTCTTAATTTAACCTGCTTTCATTGGTTTCACTGGTTCTGAGCTAAATTTGGCCAGGAATCTGAAAAATCCCAGCTTAATCCCTTATATTGGTTTTGTGCAATACCCACCAGGTGACTGTTAATGTCTTATGAATTATAACCGCTCACCAACCCTTCATGCTTTAGTTTGTGTGGTCACAAACATACCTCAGAGGGTTTCTGCCCGGTCCCCCTCCGGGGCTGCGATGAATGCTGGGACCAGCAGGTAGAACTACCTGGAGGAGAAACACCACAGAGTGTTAAGGCTCCCATCGTTTCTCTGCTTCTGCAGCTGCTCTAATGAACAATCTCACATCCTCAGAAGCGTATCGATTTCCCCCACTCACATATGTGGCTCATTTGCATAGTCAAAATGTTGTGACTCCATTTTCAGTTTGAATTCATTAGTCACTGATTTGACTTTGGTATCATTAGAAAATTACGGACAGTACACAGCAGCAGGGAGTTGCCATCAATAATTACTTGAGAAATAAAACTAAATAAATCCCTTTGCATCGTCCCTCCCTCAAAAGCCTAAGAATTACTGCTGCTAACCTTAAACATAGAGGCTACCGGTGTCTTTTATATATGTATATACTGTATGTATCTATTTACTGAACCACTGAGGGCGGCCCGTCTGGCTGAGCTGTCAGGATGTTGCGCCTCTTGTTCTTACTCTGTCCTCTGTTTCTCAGACTATAGACCTTTCTTTTCTTTTCCTTAATCTTTGTCCATCTGCTGCCCTTCTTTCTTTTTCTTTCTCTTCGCTTCCTTTCTGAACATGAAGTACAGTCACGAACACAGCAGCAAAACAGGAGACATTTTCAGAAGAAAACTACTCTGACAAAGAAACTTCAAATCCTGCCTCAGGCACTTCACTGGCAAAAATACTTTACCAAATGAAAACTAAAGAAATGGAATCATTAACTTTATGTAATCATTTAGTTTAGGCTAAATTTGATTTTGTAGTATTTAGGATAAATGTTAATTTCCTGGTCTGTTTTGCACTTTCACTTGTAAAACTTTAAAGATAGAAGGACTGTACTGACTTCATTCAGGCCTGGTAAGAATGAGTCAGCAGAGACAATACTTTACTTACTTCCATTGTCAGAGTCATCACTGCTGCTGGGGTGTCTGCTTCTCTTCATCGCCATCTGTTTGCGGAGCTCCGGCATGTGGACACTTCACAAAACAATAAATGGGGTTAAACTTAGATGGAAGACACAAGATATTCACGTGCCAATAAGAGAAGAGTCTGACTCATAAACTGACACAGATGTTTGTAGAGCTGCAGTGATGACACATGATCAATAGACAATCTGAACTTTTTTAATGACTGACTCAATGCTAAAATGCTCAAAATATGATGGTTCTGGAAGAGAAATTCAAAACAATATGCTAATACCCTTGTCTTACACTCTAGTAATATTTGTGTTAGTTGGACTGTTGATAAGAATGAAGAGATGAAGACATCATCACGAGTGGCAGTAAAAAAACAACATCTGAAGACATCATCACGAGTGGCAGTAAACTGATTCCTGTTTTCTGGTCTTTTATATATGAAAATTATTAATAAAAGTAGTAGTTGCAACCTAGATTTTAGAAAAGTAACTTGAAACAAATTCATTTATAGCACCAAAATGGCATACTTTTGTCATGTAAGAATTACCAACGTGTTGTAGTCATGCACACTGCTGCTGAAAACAGTTAATAAGCGGACTTAAAATGGGAAATGTGCATTAGGATAAACGTGATGCCCAAATTATCTAGATTAATAAACTCAAGTGAAAACTGTTTCGTTTCTAACCGAACATTCGGGATGAAACATGGTCGTCACTTATGAATGCAAGCATGCCCATCCAGTAACCGGGTTAATTACAGCTGTCTGTAACTACCATATGAATTATTAAAACCGGCCAGTGGACAGCAAAGCACATCAGGGAGAAGGGAACATAAAGCCAGTCACTGACGTTCTGTTTCTTTGCTGATGTAACAGCACACCAACCCTGCAGGGAAACACCACATCACACTCACGGCTTCAGCGATGACAACAAGAAGTTAACTAACGTTACCACACGCTGCACAAACAGGAAACAATGCCTTACAGTTTTATAAGCTTATCTTATCTTGCAGCGTGCAAAAGCATCAGCAAGGACCCGGTTCCAGACAGGTGGAAAATATCTCTAGTTCTCCTGCTGCCAGCGTGCACGGGGGAAAGGTGCTAACTCTATCTTAGGTGGCTACACTATCAGCAGGCTATCCACTGTTTATGTGACGCCCCTTCTTCCACCGACAGGCAGCACAAAGTATAGGCTAACTGCTAACAAACTAGCGGCTAGCTTTAGCTAACATCTGAATAAAACAACTGCTTTTTTAGTTAAAGTTAGTGTTTCCCCGGCAAAATGGCAACATCGCAAAGCGTGTTTCTACAAAACGACCACAATATGTTTCAAACAGAATGCACAGCGTTGCACTACAAATCAGACTCTATCCTGCTAACGGTAGCCAGATTGCTAATCTCCACTACCGTTATGCAACATAAAGGCCCACTCACACCCGGCGCCTGTGGAAATGTTTACGTTAAGAATGATTATCTTCGAAATGCTCTGCTACGCCAGTTATCTTAAAATAAGCAATCTTACCAAATCGACCTATAAGAAAACTGTTACTATCAGAAGGGTTTACGCTAAATATGCATGTTTTGAACAGGCGTAGTAACAAGTCTGCACTTCATGTGCAGCTGACGTTGGAGAATAGTAATAGTGGCTATCTGGAGGCTAAGTTAGCCACACGTATGTTACTATGGTTGGTACTTAGCATTAGCAACACTGCTAATATAACGTTGGTTTCTATGGTGCCCTGTATTTAAAAAAAAATCCAAGTTACAGCCAGCTATCTGTCAAAGGTTAGGTGTCAGATATTGATTCAAATATACTACCTGAACTCAACGTGAATACATAAAAGTTTATCATTAAACAAATGCAGTAATGTTTTGCTATCTGTGCAGCTAACCAGCAGGGCACGGTGTGGCAGATTTACCAGAGATCCACTGGCTGGGGTTAATCTTTGGCGCCATTTTAAATGATGTCGCGTTTTCCTAGCGGACTGCTAGGGCGACCATAGTAGAAATATAAACTCGTTCAAATAGCCCGATAGGAACATTCTGACGATATGCACATTATTTGTAGAGTTTAAATAAATTGGACAGTACATACGGAGCACGTCAGACCGATGCAAGCCGGGTGTTTGAGTTTGATGTGAAGCGCAGTTTTGCCGTGAGTTCCGCTTGACCCGCATTCCACATACACAAACAGAGCGGCGGCGGCGGCGGCCAGGGAGGAGGTTACCCAGTCCGGACTGCAGCGCCGCGTGTCCGCCGCTGGGGGGCAGCAGACGCCTCGGGCAGCAATTACGGATCCGACCACTAATGCAGGCAAAAATG